ATGTCGTAGGCTAAAGGATCCCCAAAAGCTTGACCGAAGTGACAAAGAGTTCATCGGATGGGACCAAGTCGAGGATCGAGTCCAAGACCGACTCTAGGACCGAGTTCGAGATAGAGTCCGGAATCGAGTCCGAGACCGACTCGGGGACCGAGTTCGAGACCGAGTTCGAGACGGAGTCCGAGATCCGAAATCGGGTCCAAGACCGAGTCCGAGGTCGAGTCCGAGGTCGGGTCCGAGATCGGGTCCGAGATCGAGTCCGTGATCGAGTCCGAACCCGAATCCGAAGTCGGATCCGAAATCGGGTCCGAGATCGAGCCAGAGACTAAGTCCAAATACTAATACGGGTCAAGGGGTGAAAGCCCAAAGCGTGCGTCTCCCAGGGGGGGGGGGGGGCTGCAGGGGGTTCCAAAAGTATAGTAGGGATAGTGAGGTCCAGGAACCAGTTTTGAAGGGACTCTCCAGTTGGGCTTCCAAACTGACTTGAGGTTGGGACTGGGACCGAGGGGCCTTGGGTGGGAGTGAGCATGGACTTGGCTGGTGCCGGAGGGGCCATCCAAGGAAGTGCTCAAGAGAAGCTCCCACTCCCGAAAGGGAAACCGATTGCGGTGCTCCCGGCTCATGTGGAGTGGTGCCCCACTTGAGTACCATGCGGCTCATTGGTCCTCGCCCTTCCTAGGGGCTTGGGCCTTCCTTCGGGATGGAAGTGGGGGGCGAGAGGTACCCATACCAGGCCGCTAGGCCACGGTGTTTCGCCCCGGCGTCCCAAAGCAAGTGTTGCACTCAAGACTTGGGATTTAGAGGGTCCCATGATCAAGTCTTGTGGTACCAAGGGATGTTAGGAACCTGGAAGCTTGGTGTGCTTGGCTGCTTGTGCTTGCGGGGAGTGTAGCCGAACCTTAAGTCCAGTCTAACCCGGGGAGGGGGATTGGGAGTGATTCGGGAATCCATGGAAGGATGGCTAACACTCCGTTGCTCGTGCAGTGAGTAGCTGAAACCAAGTAGGAGCTGGTACCATAGGCGAGAACCTTGGCGAGGGAACTTAGCAAAAGCCAAGGCAGTGTTGGACGGATAGGCGAGGTAAGCTGGCAAAGTGGAAAGGAAAAATTTGTGGCTTACACCTACCTATTATCCCTACTATACATTTGGAACCCCCCAAAGCTCCCCCCCCCCTTGAGGAACATATGTTTTGAGCTTTCACCCCAAGCCTCCTTTAATATCAAGAGTTAATCTCTGGGACAAGCTCAAAACTTACTAAATATGGAATGTCCCTAGATTGCGATTTAGACATGAGATGAACACCATAGTGTTCAGGTCAATTTCTACATTCTGTAGATATGCCAAATGAGCAAATTTAAAGACTTTCTATAAATAACATTTGGGACCGAAATAAGAGTAACACAAAGGGCATGATAGCGAAGGTGTTTGGCAAACATAGTAAGTTATCATTTAGGGAATATTGAGGGACCAATCTCAATATCGCAGGGGTTTTTGATACTAGCAAGTGCAAGCCAAAAACTCAAGTTTCTCAAACCAGGCCGAGTATGCTCAGCAAGAAACACATAGGGTTCCTACCTTATGTTTATCCAATTTGAGTGTATGGTCATTGACCAGTTTCTCAACTAGCTCAAGTGGGAAATTGATAACAGGTCCAGCAATACCGATCTCTTGCCGTCGTGGCAGTAAGGAAAGAATATCCAAAAAGAAGAGTTGATAGGTAACTTTCGATACCCGAAGTCATATTTGCAACACTCTCCCCCCCTTAGGGAAGATTGACGTCCTCGTCAATGCATACTCAAGTCTAGACCACTGCTAAGGAAACAACTCCAAAAAAAGTTCACGGTGATCATACTATGTGAGAAATGCATCAACTTAAATGAGTTAGGGGTGACCTTTGTGTCTAATGCGGATGCGCTACCAACTCAGACACCTTCCTGCCATCGCCGACAAGAAAATACTAACGGAGTTAGCCATTCTTGCTACTCTAGGTGTCACCCAACTTACAAAAGTGTGATACGCCCCTGCTCGCAAGGACATAAAGAGAGAAGCCAGAGGCCCCAACCCTCCTGAGAAAAGAAACCAAGCCCATCGGTAAAGTTTAGATAGACTATTGTAAATAGGCAGTTAGAGTTGTTTACACGGTTACACCCTTTTCAAACGACAAAAAGAACATTGACAGAGAGGCGGGTGATGTGACTAGTCGACAGTAGCTACCCCATGACTAAAGATTTCACCATGCATACGAAGTGCCGAAGCCAATCTGCTTATACTTGCCCAAACTCAAATATTAATAGATGGACAATATCAAAGTCATAAACATTGATAACTTAGAGACTTAATTATTAGTGATTAAATCTTAGATTAGAACACAAAATTATTCTAAGTAAGTTATCAACCGATAAACCAGTATGATAGTATAGAAACCACCAAGATCATCATTTTTGGAAACATAAAATTGACAATCCAACAAAATTCAATAGCAAGTATACCATCAATAACACTTGATGATAAAACTTAACTATCAAAGGTTTTAGATAGCATGCTAAACAACTTACGTAGGATAACTCAAAGAACACAAAGTTTCATCGACTAGCAAGAAAATGCTTGCGAATGTATCACTCAAAGGAAATAACATCCAAATCTATTAGAACTAACTTGAGCAACAATCAACAGAACAAAATGAATGCGGTAAAACCAACAAACACCCATTCATGTCAACTATCACAAAAGTCAATTTGAATAAATCCTAGTCAACAATATGAACGAACTAAAGTTGTTTAAGGAAGCGTTAGCAATATTCTACCGATATCTTAAACCCAAGAGACCAATCCACACATTTGGGCGCAAAGGCTTTGCAATCATTTCTTGGGTATGGATTTTGGTTACCTTTTTGTACTAGAGTAATGAGCTTTCGCTTGGCTCATAAGTTGGATTGAGATGTTCCGTTTGCACAAGTTTACGCTTGAGCTCGTGAATGAGGCACATTAGCAACTCAAGATTACACTTTGAGTTAGCAGGAATAATATTAGCCTATTGGTGGTTCCATGAGTTGTTCCTTGTACAATGGAATAAAGTAAACTTCCCTGGGTTTGCTATGAGTGGCAAATATGCTAGTCCGTAGTTGTTTAGCACGGCACTAGTGGATCCTTCCTAGGCAAGATTATAAATGGATCAATCAAGACAATAGGGATTAGTCTATTAGTTCAAGTAGTCATTGTTGTGCTCTTTCATAAACTTTTTTTGGATTAGACTAAAGGCAGTGCGAAAGCAAGTTTGAGGTTTAGTCAAAGATGAGACCGAAAAGAGAGTCATTAGGGATGAAAAATCAAACATGTAAATCATCTTTTCTTTTGGAGAAATGGTGTTAACTCATTGTTTGTGTTCACATTATGCAATCAAGAGTCCCTATCTTGATGCATGTTGGAAATAATGGTCTTGCAAGTGGTGAGTCGTGGGATGGATAGTAGTGAAGCACTGTACTATTTTGTCTAGGCTTGTTAGACTTGGGTTGCAATGCTCAATTCTTTTTCAGGGAACCTTGCTATTGCTCTTTGAGTAACTTGGTGTTGGATTAGTTTTGAGTTTGGTCGGAAAGAGAGTGGCATAAGCTTATTCGTGTTGTGAACAAAAGTTAGTGGTGTTAGGTGTTGTAAATTTCTATTGGTGGAGTGTGGCATTTATGTTGCATTTTGTTGAATAGAGTTGGCATTTAATATTCACATAAATTTTTGTAGTAGTGACATGGGCGTTGCTTGTAGTGTTGCTCGATTGATGACCAAGTCATTATGATATTATATCATATCCATATGATAATGAGCAATGTGTTTACGAAGTTGCTTGGGTAAACGATGATCAACCCCAAAGTGGTTGATGGAGAAGCTAGTCTACTTGCATATAGTAGCATTATAGTAGCTTCGACTGGATTCTCAATAATTATCTGTTATACTAAGCATAAATTGATACCTTGGATCTTGAAGGTGGTTGAAGAAGAGTATTGGTGCAATGTGGATATCTAAAGATATAGTCTTCGTGATCAAACCTTGAATGTTCATTTTTGCATCTTGTGGATATTGGGTTGGAAGTTGAAAGTATAGACAAAGATATTCGAGGCTTAAGCATACTATGGGATGTACTATGGGATGTCCAAGTTGGCCTCGTTGGATATCACTCTGGAACTCCAGGCAAGCTTGTCTATGCGACACTATCTGCCACGTTTGACAGGCTCGCAATCAGTTCCTTAGTGTAGCTCAGCTCTCCAGATGTTGCAATGATATCTACCATGAAACCATAGAGCTCATAGCTTGGACTCAAGCCATGGTCCTCCACCATCGCCACAAAGTGCTCGTGAGCCTCTGCCACCTTTCCACCATAGCTGCAAGCAGTGAGAACCGCAAATGTAGTGAGCTTGTCAGACTTGATGTATGAGCTGGACGAAATGAATCTTCCATTAGACCATTCTGGGCATACACCTGTTATCGAATGAAAAATGTACCTTGCGTCGCTGACCTTGCCAACCTCTGCATAAGCCAGGGTTGGTCCCGTCCGATCGGCTTTCAGGATATGTCAACCTAAAAAGTTGCCACTCTTTTTTGGCTTCACAGAATGTTATGCCCGTGAAATGGCGCAACGAAGTACCTCTCGCGAGCCGTGAGATCATGTGGGATCAATCACGACCTTGCGGAGGGCAAGCGCGTCCACGCAAGAATTCTCAAAGGAAGCCACAGCAAAAACAGGTATCTCACCAATCTCCTCATCGAGATGTATGGGAAATGTGGCAGCCTCGAAGACACACAATTGGTGCTCGACTCCATCGACAACCCAAATGCTTCTCCTACACGCTCATGATCCAGGTGTATGCCCACAGCGGCCACGCCCGGTTCATGTGCCAGGTGCGATTCTTGCTGGATCGAATGCCTGAGGCCGACGCTGTCACAGCCAACATCATGATCAAGGGATACATATGACTGGGCGATCTTGGCAGCGCCCAAGAGATCTTTTACCGGATGGATCACAAGACGCTAGCAACCTCGAGCCTCATGATCGCGGCATATGCCCAATCTGGGCATCTATACAAATCCTGGAACTTGTTCTTACGAATGGAAAGCCGGGACTTTCTTATCTGGACGGCACTTGTGACTGCGTGTGCTGATATTGGTAACCTCGACGAAGCTCTTCGAGTCCTTCATCAGATGCCGAACTGGGATGTGGCTCCCTGGACTGTTGTTCTTCCAGCATTTGCCCGGATTGGGGATTATGATTCTGCTAGAAGACTATTTGATAGTATGCCGTACACAGATAGGATCTCTCAAAATGCAATGCTCAATGTGTATGGACAAGATAATAGGACTCATGAATTGAAACAGCTCTTCCGCAACATGCCCGAGTGGGATATCATAAGCTGGACTTCTATGATGGCTGCAAATGCCACACAAGGTAATGTGGACGATGCGCGAGGCTTGTTTGACAGGATCCTGCAGCGGAACACTGTGGCATGGAACACCATGATCCAGGCTTACGCCGAGAAGAATAACCTCCATGAGGCTCTCTCGATGTTCATGGCGATGGAGCAGCCGGATGTCATCTCCTGGACGCACCTTACTGCTGTCTTCTCTGAAAATGGATTCCTTGATCAAGCAAAGTTCATGTTTGACAGGATCCCTCTGCGAGATATGGTCTCTTTCAATGGAATGCTTGCGGCTCTCCTCAAGAACGATTGTCTTGATGATGCCAAGGCAATGTTTAATGAGATCCCGGAGAGAAACCTGGCATCCTGGAATCTCTTGATCGGTGGGTTCTCGGACCAAGGAGAGCTTGACGCCGTGAAGCATTCGCTGGAGATAATCCCGCAGCGAGACTTCATCTCGTGGAACTCATTGGTGGCAGTCTATGTCCAAGCTCATCAGCTCGACCAAGCAAAAGCCGCTTTTGACGAACTTCCCCAGCGAGATTGGTCGTCATGGAATCTCTTAGTCTCGGGTTACGCTCAAACAGGAAAACTCCAAACAGCGGCACAATGGTTCGGTCGAATGCCGCAGTGGAACGTTGTCTCATGGAACGCTCTCATCGCCGGCCATGCCAAGCATGGCGTCGAGTCGATTGCATTGAATCTCCTCTCAAGCATGAGCCTGGAAGGAGTAATACCAGACTCAACCACATTTAGCAGCCTTTTGGCCGTCTACAGCCACAAAGGGAGCCGAGAAATCTTTGGACTCATGGTCCAAGACCACTGGATCGATCCGAGCTTACAGCAGTTTTGCGGTGTGGTGGACGCCTTGGGCCGGAGTGGCAAGCTGAGTGAGGCTGAGGAGCTTGCGTCTGCCATGCCTTATTTGCCAAACTGTGCGGTATGCAATGCACTGCGTGTAACATCCATAGCGATGTGACTCGCAGTGAGAGAATGGCAAGCTGCGCAGTGGATGTTGCTCCAAGCTCAGGTACCTCCTACGTGCTCTTGTCCAATATGTCCTCTTGATAATAATTTAAAAATGTTTCTGTATTATTCTTGAATTCTTAGGCTACTATATATTATATGCTTGCAAACCTGGAAAAAATATTTTTATGTATTTTTATTACTAGTAAAATTATAAAAGTAGAGAAAAAAGATACTGGAATAATTAATAACATATAAAAGGAAAGAGATATTTTAGTATTTTGAAGGCTAATAGTTTAAATTGACTTATGCTATTTTTCAATGTGGCAATTAAAAGTAATATTAAATATTTAATACAAATTTCAACAAAATGATTTTGAATCCCATGCAGGTTTGAATTTGGGATTACTACTAAACGTTTTTTGATATGCATAATATAAAACTAAATTACAATCATTTTGCATGACTAAATATGCATCTTGATAACAATTATAGTAATTACATTGAGTATTTGTAGCCCAAACAACAATTTTATTATATGAATATAAAACTAAGTTCCCATCTTCTTGTAATCTTAAAATACAATTATTTCCCTTAATTAAAGTTTCTGGAGACCATAAATGTTTATCCTCTTTATATACACCTAAGTTGCAATCAAAACTCAAATATAAATATACTTTTCTATTTTCTGAGACTAAAAATTGTGTTGATAATAAGTATTGATGAGACATATCAGTATAACCACTTATTAAAAAACTTGAGAAAATGTTGCATTTAGTATGTTTCACTAAAACTTGTTGCCCTCTTTGATGTTGCCTATTATAGTTTCTAATAAAATAATAAATAATAAATCTTTCAGTAGTTATAACAATAAATGAGGCAGCAAAATTATATATATCATCAGTAGACTCATCTAAAATATTTTCTAATAAATATCTTACAGTAAAGCCTAGAGTTCCTCTTCCTCTATAATGCTCAACACCACAAATGTCTCCAATTGTATCTAAAAGAAAAACACCAAATCCAATATATGTTTGTCTTCTATTTATATCTGTAGCTGTTATATGCCCATGAAAACTTTGACTTTGTGGAATTAAATCATTTGGTATTTTACCAATTGCATTTCTAATCCCTTGTAAAATAGCATTTATAGTGTCTTCACCTAGTACATCACTTTCTCCAGTTTCAATATCAATACTTTCAGAAATTGCAATTATTAGAATAATAAATAGAATATTTTTATACATTACATACAAATTAAGAGAAATAAATAAACTCCTTTTACTCTTTAAAACTTTATAAAATAAATGTAAACATTGTCACACATACATAGAGGTAATATTTATATATATATATGTATTTAGCCTCATTTATTTTTAAACTTCAACTTCTTTCTTTCTGAACATCTAATGTTAAATTTTTTTTATCTTTTTACTGTTTTTTAAGCAATATATTTTATTATGCAAATTGCACTCTTATTTATTGACAAATGTAATAAATATTTTTTATTATTTAACTTTTATTATCAATTCCAGTGCATAAATTAACTTCTTGTATTAGAATTAAGCATGTTTAATAGTGTAGGACATGTGGTTTTTACCTTTTATCCTATGGTGACTTACTATAGGATAACCACGGAAGTAGAACCTAAACCCTCCATGTGCCACGTGTCACATGTGACATGCTAAATGCCACGTGTCCAAAGGACAATGGTGTGGAACTCAAGTTTCAGAGCCTTGGGCCACTGAATGAAGGAACAGTGCCAAACTCCCAAACATGGAACCAAGGAGCAAAGGCACTGGAGCATGAAATAACTTTTGAGTGTACAGCCCAAGGAGCGAAGGGACAGGAGCATGGAGTGACTTGGAACAGTCCTAGAGCATTTAGCATCCCAATGCCAGGACTAACATGCAAAACAAAGTTAAATAGAGTTTGGCACTATTTCAGTATATCGATGGCCTAACGTGAAGATATGGGTATTCCACCAACTAGCATTGTGTAGCGCATGTGATCATGGGATGAGATTTGGATATATTGTCACACTAGATCTTTGGAACTTTGGGGGATAAATGGGGATAAAATAGCCACTAAGGGCTCTCTCATCAAGCAATTGCCCCTTTTCCAGTTGACTTAAGGGGAGAGAAATAAGGTGCGTTATAGTTGGTATCAGAGCAAATGGCACGGGTTCAATTCCTATTGATTAGTGGCTACTTAAAAATATAATATACCCTTGAGCAAGGTATATTCCTACCCCTAAATTTGAAATTGTATGTATTAGGCATCCATGTGTACGTCCTTCCTCTTGTGTGGAGTATCCACCGTGGGATTGCGGTACGGGTGGATGACTAGTTGCCTCACATGGAATAACTGGTTTACACAATAGAAGGATTGATAGATTTAGTGCGGAAATGGAGGTGTTGTTTCTTTTTGGCTCAGTAGAGATTGTTAGTCAGTGCACCTTATCTCTCTCCCCTTAAGCTAACTGGAAAAGGCTTCAGAGATGTCAATGTCCTCATTGACTATTGGAACCTGGGCTTAAAACAAGCATGCAAACAAAAGGTAAACTATGCAGAACAAGGACAAGTATGCAAACAAAAGGTAGACTATGCAAAACAAGGACAAGCATGCAAACAAAAGGTAGACTATGTAGAACAAGGACAAGTATGCAAAGAAAAGGTAAACTATACCTCAGGTTAGTCAACTATACTTGATTTACCTATTATCCCTACTATACATTTGGAACCCCCCAAAGCTCCCCCCCCCTCCCCCCCCCTCCCCCCCCCTGCCCCCCCCCCCCCTTGAGGAACATACGCTTTGGGCTTTCACCC